AGTCGTTTAACATAACATGTCAGGAGTAGTGATGTCCCGAACGGTTCGCCGAATGCTTCGCCGAACGGTTTGCCACGGACGGCGAACATGAAGATAAACTTTGACCCTGGGAGGGAGGGTCTTTGACCCTGAGAGGGAGGGTCTGCTGCTGATTGGCTGGAATGTGTCTGCTGACTGTTAGGTACAGGGTCGAAGTTTATGTTTATGTTCGCCGTCCGTGGCGAACCGTTCGTCGAACCGTTTGGGACATCACTAGTCAGGAGTGCTGCACATTTTAGTAAAGAATAGAGGGATGTAAAGAGAGAACAGTTGAAGCACAGCTCTGAGAGTCTAAATAAAAAATAATGTCAAATATGCATTAAACTAGACCTGTAAAGAATTGCAAAAAGGAAATACCACTGGCTGAAATGGGCTATTGCCGATAATTAGTATGGGCACAAAACAGGCTAAAACATGGCAAGGATAATGCACTACATAACCAACACAATAATAGCCAAGCACCCCTCAGCCAATACTGTTGCATTGAGTAAATGTGTGTTGATTATACTTTTTTGTATTTGGCAATTGATAGGGGAGTATGATGAAGTACCATAGATTCTGGGTTGAAGGGACAGTGTTATTTGTGGGCTTTTCCACCAGGCTTCATAAGGCAGGGTGCATCCCCCCTCCACACACTACCATTCTGGCATTGCTGCCAGCATATCAGCAGATAAAATAATTCGCATCTGTCATCGTTCCTATGTTCCTCTGGTAAAGGTGTGAAATGCTCTCACCAGGTAGGTAATATCAACAAATACAGTGCAAGTGTTGTTGTTGCTGTGAAGGAGAGCAGGAGAAGTTCTTGGAGGAGGGTTCTCCAGCTACTCTCCTGTCAGTCAACCCTTGGTATATACTCTGTCAGCATAGTCCCAACTGATTGACAGGTGAAAGGAGGGGCCTTTCTTTAGTTTAGATTTTTTTTTTTTTTATCCCAAAGTACTGATCACAATTTATTCTCTTTCATTGGAGCATAATATGTGTAGTTTGTGCTGTCAATGGCTCAGCTGTGTACATACATTTGATAAGGAAGTATTTTCCTGGATGAAGGAATGTGGGCAAAGATGCAGGTTTATGTTGCAGGATTCTGCAAAACATTTATTTTTGTGCAAAAAGATAAAGATTTGAGCATGCAAAAAATGAAGCTTACAATGCAGGAGACTTTGCGTGATGACATAGCACACACCAGGGCCGGACTGGGACAAAAATTCAGCCTGGGCAATTAAACGCAGAGCAGCCCACTTGGAGGGGCAGGACCAAAA